AATTTATACAGCTACACTTAATTCTCCCTTTAAGCTTAAGGGATACTATTGTGATCTGGACCGTACCTCTTAACCAATTTTAATCTTAAACTGTTTTGGATTTTTTACTACTCACAAATAAGCAATAATATGCTGTATTGTTAGTAGGCTCTATGCCACGTTCAGCTCTATTTTAAATGGATTAATCATCCATAGAATTGCACCCACTTAGCACTGGTCTGAATTTGGCACTGCTTCCAGGCAAAAGGCCAAAGGCTGCTTACGAACTGTAGGTTTCTTACAATGTCACTTCTTGCAGTGACATTGCTATTATGAAATGTATGTGGGCTTGGTTAGTGTTTTTGATGTTAGGGTCTTGCTTATGCAGTTTTGAATATCTGCATAGTCAGACCTGCATCAGCTGATTAGAACTTCTACTACACATTTTCATAGCTATCAGATACAAAGAAGCTGAATAAACTTTCTAGAAGCAGTAAACTACAGCTATAAAATAATTAGAAGCTTCGTGTGAGTGGCTGGATTCTTAATTTTACCACTTGTTAATGGCTTTTTTTCCCCCCACTTGTCCAGACTGTGAAACACTAATTCGACGGATGCTGGTTGTGGACCCAACCAAACGAATCACCATTGCCCAGATAAAGCAGCACAAGTGGATGCAAGCAGACCCTTCTCTTCAGCAGCAGCAGTCTTTGACCTTCTCCATGCAGAACTACAACTCCAATCTGGGGGACTATAATGAGCAGGTTCTTGGAATCATGCAGGCTCTTGGCATTGACAGACAGAGAACAGTTGAGGTGAGCTTTAGCTCATTCCACTGGTACGAAATACGTATGTCCCTTAGATGCTTGTTCAGGGACTTAGAGAGTGCCAATAGTTGCTGACAGTGCTTGCATGGAAATTGGCTCCTCAGGAAAGGGCAAGAGGTTAACCACACCTCCGCTCATGCATATATGCTTAAAGATTTACCTTGATTTGAAGCTACTCAGCATTGTTTACCTATTGGATTTGATGATGTTTTGAAAATCAGTTGCCCTGTTGTTGCTCTTTATGTTCTTTAAAGGTGGTTTATCTGCAGCTTAAACATCCTTTTCATGTCTTCTAGTCACTACAAAACAGCAGTTACAACCATTTTGCTGCAATTTATTACCTTCTCTTGGAGCGCCTCAAGGAGTACCGAAGCAGCCAGGTGTCAAATCGTCCAGCGACTGGCCGTCAGCAAAGGCCAAGGAGCTCGGAGCTCAGCAACTTTGAAGTAAGACAGAATAGTCTACTGTAAACCTTTGTACTGTTGATATTCTGTCCTTTGCTGTATTTTATTTTATTCATCAAATGCTTTTGCCCATAATATTACAGGAAACTACAAGGTGTGACCATAAGGGTCCTCTGAGTCAGTTTAATCTTTCTGTCCTGTACCCAGAGGACATAGCAGGCTGTTCTTCAGCAGGAGGTTGATTGAATACTAATGGCCCGTTTCCTAACACAGTAACTTTCTGTAGGTCACAGTCCAAAGAATAGTCTCTCTCCAGTGCTGGTCAATAATGGGCTAAGTTATGAGTCTTCTGATTGGAAATTTGTCCTTTCAGAAATACAAGCTGCTTCTGACGTCTTGTTGAATGCAAAACAGATGTTTCATGAGCCAGTCCTGATTTCTTAAAGGGACTCGGTAACAAAAAAGACGGTGATCTGGGTGTCCTCAGCCTGACACAATGAAGAATAAGGAGGTCTGGATTCTATATCCACCTCTGCCACATACTTCCATTGTCACTTCTGATGGTTTTCTTAAACTTTATTCTTTTAGCTCCCCATTTAGGACAGAGTGCTACCTATGTGTTTTAAGGACAAACTTGTTAATTTTTGCCAAATGCTCTGAGAAGCTTGGGTGGAGTACATGTAGAAAGCCAATGTGCCAGTAATATTTGAAAAATTGATAGGATTTGCAGTTTATCTCATATCTTGCCTATATCTTTTTGCCTTCAGATGCCTCAGGACAGTCTTGCAAGTGAATCCCTGAGATCATCTCTGCTTTACCAGCAACCTCAGAACCTGATTCAGTCATCCTTGCAGGGAGAAATGGATTGTGACATGAACAATCCATTACAGGTTGGTGCTTTCAGCTAAATATCATCCAGCTGTTCCTACTGTTCAGTTAATTTGACATGACAAAGGTTTTACCTCCAGCTGTTCTGCTCCTCAGTTCCATTTCGTTAAACATTCAGATGTACAGTGCCATAATACCCTTTTAACAGTAGGCATAATAGAGGCCTGGTACATGACCCTGCAAAGCACAAACAAATAATGGGAATGTTTTCATAGAAATAAGTAAATGGCTCTTCGCTAATTTTCTGTGTTGTGTTTTTTTTTTTTTTTTTTGCAGCCAGTGTTCTTTCCTGTAGATCCCAGCTTCAGTGGTTTGTTCAGGAATTGCTCCATCTCTCCCAACAGCCTTCTGGAAACCACCATTAGTGAGGAAGTGAGACAGGAGAAAGACCTGGAGGAGGAGATTAAGGCTTACAACCCCCTTCATATTCCCAACAACACCAGCAGGAGGCACACGCTAGCTGAAGTCACTACTCATTTCTACCAACATACCCCTCCATGTAAGTCCTTCAGGGGAGAAGGTCTCTGAGGTACAAACTGAGGGAGTGGACTGCTGTGACCTTCCTAGTAGAAGCCAGGGCACAGCAAATGTCAGTAGATGCTATTTTTGCAACTATGCTGATTTACGATAGAAGGGGTCAAACAGTGACTCATCTGTTCTATGCACTCTCCAGTTATTTCTTTCTTTAAATTAATGTGACTTTTGAAAATTCTTAAAGACGTAGCCATTTAGTACCCATGTATTTTGAAAGTGAAGTGTACTTAATTTAGGCCATGCCCTAGCACCTTCTAGATCAAGTTAAATCCCAGGTCCTGTGGATTTTGGTGAATGTGTGACTCTACTTTAGTGTTGCCATTGACTTCTGTTAGAGCAGGATCAGGTCCTGATGTAATTCCCCCTCCTGCCCCAAAATAACAGGGTTATAGCCCTAGATTACACACAACCTACTGCTGCACTCCCAGGCCGTGTCCAGATTAGCATGGACATTTGATTTCCCAGGGACAACTAACGGTGTTGCAACTTGTGTCACCGCTAGTTGTCCCTGGGGAACACCCATGCCACGTGCACTCTGGTGCGTGGCAGGTTACCCTGAGTGGGGTAGGGGAGACAAGGGCCAACAGTGGGTTGGCCCCAGCAGCCATACCCAGGGTCCTGGGGTCCTCCAAAAGGTGCAGCAGCGGTGATGCTGCTGCTCTGAGCCTGTCCAGCAGCCACAGTGTGGTTCTAACCAGCCAGGCTTCGGTTCTGAGCAGCACATGCCGTGCTGGCATGCACCACTCTGCTTTTTTTTTTTTTTTTTGCATGGGGTTGACTTTTTTTTGTTTTGTTTTTTGACCTCTGATTATCCAGGGGTTAAAAAAACCCAAACCCTTGTGCTGCTGCTGCTCCCTTGCAGTGTGGAGAACACCTGACCGTGCAGTATGTAGCACTAATCTGGACATGGCCCCAGGGCCCAAATTTCACACTGTCCTGTGCTGCTGAAGTCAGTGGGGCCACACTCAGGGGCTGCCTGTGCCACTTGCAGTGTGCATGCTGCAAGTTGGCCACCCTTGTTCTGGAACAATCTGGTTCTAGTCTGACAGCTGTGGTTGGTTACAGCATACAGGGAGAGATATAAGAAATTTTTGTTTCTTGCTCTGCTTATTTCCGAAACATTCCTGATCTTCCTCCCTTCCCTTCTGTAGGTATAGTCATTTCTTCTTCAGCAAGCCCTACAGAGGGAACGAATTCAGACAGCTGCCTACCTTCATCTTCAAATGAGGGCACGGTGGCTCTGAGCAGCTGTTTGGCAGATCAAGTAATGACAGGTAACCCAGCCACAGCTAGGATGACATCGCCATTTCTGACTTCTCAGTCTGATACTCCAGTGTTGCAAGCTCAGGGCTGTATGGGAGGTGCTGCTTTGCTGCCTGTCAGCTTCCAGGAAGGAAGGCGAGCATCTGATACCTCATTAACTCAAGGTAATTCCTTTCTTGCTCTATAGCTGAAGAGGCACACATTTCCAAGTAGTAATGTAGAGTGGCATTTGGGAGTTCCTGTTGCACCAGTTATTGTAAAACTAGAGCATTAAAGGTGATTTCAGGAAGAAGCCACCTATGCCAGTGTTTCCCAAGTGGTTCCATGTGTTAGTGTAGCATTTCTCATTTCTGTGCTAGGTATTCTAGGCTTTCCACTTCTTTACCTTAATAATGAACGCAGCATGCAATTGCTGCCTTCCTCCTATTTAGCTCTGCACATGTCAGAAAATAGTAGAACAGGAGGTGCCCCGGAGCAGCCTTGTATTTGCATGAGCTTTGTTGCTTGTGAGTAGGGTGTGTAGATGAATGTGAACGGACAGGAATCTTGTCTGTATTGCCCTAGGTCTCACTGTAGTAGACTTAACATGGCTGCTCAGACAGGTTGGGAACTGCCGCTTCACAAAGGGAAGTTATTTAGCACCCAGTTGCAAAGCTTTATTGAGGAGAAATAAAAAGGGCTTGTTTCCTTTGTCTCACACAGGCTTGAAAGCATTTAGACAGCAGTTACGGAAGAGTGCTAGAGCCAAAGGCTTCCTTGGTCTGAATAAAATCAAAGGCTTTGCTCGTCAGGTCTGTCAATCCTCATCAGCTCGGGCAGCACGAAATGGCATGAGCCCTTTCCAGCATTCACAGCAGAACACCTGCATGTACAGCAGTGGGGGAAGCAGCCGAGAGAGCAGAAGCCTTCTCGAAGAGGTGCTCCAACAGCAGAGGTGAGCATCCATTTGGCAACAGGGCCCAGTGCAGTTATGGCACTGACATGTAACGTGTTTATGTTGCTTTCATAACTATGCAGCAGGTGATACACAGTCGTTGAACTTGTACTTCAAAGTAGCCTGTTTTTTGCAGTGTGTTCCTTTCAGGAAATGAGGTTATTGTCCAGTAGTTGGAGAAAGTGGTTGAGGGCTAGGGCTGAAAGGTTCTTTTCCTGGTTCTTGCTTTGTGACAGCAAATGAGCCATTTTAACTTCTTTGTAACATCCCTTAAGCTAGTGATGCTCAGCCTTTTGGCTCTGCGGGTCAAATGAGCGGCACAGGGCTGGTCTGTGAGTGGGATTGGACCCTGTGTTCCATGATTGGGCCTGCAGGCCCGGATCCAGGCTGGCCAGTCCCCGCTCAGCCCTGTGTGCCAGTATCGGGACCCTGGGACCCTGCACTGCTTCCACCCAATTCTGCATGTGGAGATCATGCTCCAGGGCCCTACACTTGCTGGTACCTGGTCCTGCATATGGGGATCAGGCTTTGGGGCCCCACACCATGTGTGCCGGGATCAGGCACCGTACTTCCCTGCTCACCAGATCTTGTGCACAGGGCAGCAGTCTATAGGGCTCCCTGTGGACCCATGGAGAGTCCTGCAGGCTGGATGCCCCAGAGCCGGGGGCCAGATTTGGTGCTTGGGCCAGCGGTTGAGCACCCCTGTCTTATGCCTTTGTGCAGTTTGTGTAATGCTGACGTGGCTTCATAGGAATCCAGGAGTCTAAATCTAATGTTTTGAAATTATGGAGTGAGAAGCCCTGCATAATGCAAAGGCAAAACATAATTTCTTCCTATCACAAGCTCTGTTTTTGTTTGTTTTGGGGACAGATGCTTTCCTTCTTTCCTGTTATTTTCCCATGGCTAGAAGATAGGGCCTTGTGATCTGGAAAAGTTGCATTCCACAAATGTGGCACAGTTCCAGTGGCTTCAGATCTCATGTTTGGTGACAACCCTTAGTTTTCATAGAAGCAAGATGGAAAATTGAGCACCAAATTGACCAGTATCCTTAGTCACTAGAATAGTATGTTCCTTAGTTGACGAATTGGGAGCACATCATTCTGTTGTGATTTTTTTTTTCCCCCCCAAAGATTCCCACATTTTCATTTGGTGTGACTGATCTGTACAAGCCACTGTACATGAACCAAACAGTTGAGAAGTGGTTGGGATAGTGCTACATAGAAAACCTGGAACTCCCAAGCAATAAGTGTTAATTTCCTTCCCTCTTAACTTTTGTTCAGAATGCTCCAGTTGCAGCATCATCAGCTGATCCAGCCAGCTTGTCACCAGCCTGCTCAGGTGTCTGCAGCGCATTGTGTTCCCTCCTCTGACAATTCTAGCACCTGCAAAACATCCAATTCCCTTTTGCTATCAGAGCTTCAAAGGGAGAACTCCCTCGAACTGGCCTTTGGTGGCAACCATCAGCTGCTCCAACCTCACCTCTTTGGGCTCAGTGTCTCACCAGTGTCTTCAGCTGCTCACCTTTTAGACACCCACCTGTTTATCAGCAGCAATGTCTCTCCAATCGCCACAACCTTCTCCCACCCACAGAGTTTCTCTGTGCAGTCTGCAGGTTATGATGCAGTCGCACTGCAGCACGCGGACTGTGAAATGGAGGACCTCACTTCAAACCAGCTGGGGAAATTTGTCTTGGTTAAATGAGAGTTTCAGCTACTACGGAGCTCACCTCTCTTTTGCAAAAGACTTACACCATTGTTCCACGGCTAGCTGGCATTGTGTGAAGGATTGACTCTCAGAAGCAATAAATTTTGAAGTATGTGAAGAAGCTGTCTCAGAAAGCTAAGAACTTTATAGAACTTGAAACAAGCAATATGTATGTCTTTTGGCTTCTACTATTCTTGCACTGAACAAATATGAATAGAAACTGAAAGAAACAAAACATTTTTTGAAGAAAAATAATGATAGGGGTTAGGGTGGGACGTGTGGGGGTGGGGCGGCATGTAGCTGGGGAAGAACTCTTTGGTACTGTATTCAAGTCAGACCAACACAGCTTTGCTTTTATGCAGGACAGCTGTCAGTTGTGGTGACGTAACAGGGAGAGGCTTTTCAAAGAAGGGACCAGAGCCTCCCCTTTTCACAATATTTGTTTATGGGTTTGTGAAGATGATTACCTCTTTAAAAAAAAATAGTGTCATGCAACATTATGCAGTGATAGGAGGGAAGAATGGAAGCATTACCATTTATTTTTATGAAGTTGATGCTCATTTTACTTTAACAGAACCAACAACTCCCACTCCCCAAAAACACATGCTTTAAATGAAAACTGTGAAATTCTTGCTTGATATATTGGCTGGGAGAGCTAAAATATTATAATTGTTAGCAAAGAAGCAATTAATCTCTTGGAAATGTATCCCCTGATATCAGGATCCAGATTGCATAGTGTCTGGGGGTATTTTCGTTGTTTGTTCTAAATCTTTAGTAATGTCTGTTTTTGTCTTGTGCTCTCTCTCTTCCCTCTTTTCTTCTCCCACCCCACCCTTTTTTTTTTTTTAAATAATATTTTCTCATGTTCCTGCAAAGGTATTGGGGATGGAAACAGTTGTATTAGTGGGACAAAGGGGATGGTTTTTGCTTTACCCCCTGCCTCCCACTCTCACCCCAGGGGTTGCCTTTGAAGTTGCCTGAGGGGTATTTCTTAGTGCTGCATATTTTATTTGCGCTGCTAATTAAGTTTGTATGCATTTCATTATCAGGGTCCAAATAGAACTGACTCTTGGGGAAACGTGCAATATTGAGGTTATAATCCTGTACTGACAAAGACAAAAGGAATAGGCTAGAACAGAATTTTACTCTAAATGAGTACAGCTATTTCTGAAAAAAACTGTATTAAACTGAGTGAAACAGCACAATCTTTAGGTGTGTGGGTTTTTCTTGTTTTGGTTTTCTTCTTTCGTTCTGTTTGTTTGTTTGACACATTAGCAAAAATGAGATTTTTGATTAAGTGTTTTTATGTATGGGTTTTAATACTGTATATCTATATAAATAGGAAGCAGAAAACAATATATACACTACTTATTTTTTATATTTTGTAATATGCTTATATTGTGTTTTCTGGTATAAAACTCCCTGTGTGGCAGAGCATGACTTTTGTTGGTATCAATGGAAGTTACGCATGGGTATAAAGGGGAGAATAGACTACAGCCCCTACAGGAACTTGCGGGGGTCAGGGTCAAACTGGTAGCGGGTGAATAAGCAGAGAACCAGGTTGGTCAAAAGTTACTAATTGAATGTCAGGAAAGTTTCATTCTATCTCAATGCTTAAAGGACCCCTCTCTTTAGTGTGACACAGGGTGCCTTCAAGTTATCTTGGCTTCTTGCAACCTGCAGTATTACACATTTAAAAAAATATATCTATTTTTTTTTAAAAAGCCAAAGATTGACCAGGTTAATTGGTGGGAGGGAAAGGGTTAAACGTGTCATGTGGCTCTATGTCTGGCTTTTCATAAATAATCTTTTTATCTGTGTACAGTATCTGCGTGTCTATATGGATATATCTCTAGCTTGCCACTGCTGCTCTGTGCTGGGGAAACTTCATGGTGAGGGGGTTGGGTCTCCGAATGGTGGTTACCTTGCATCAGAGAAAATGCCCAAGTCTCGTGAATTTTCATGGTGGTTGGGGGGAAAAAATTGCGTGCAAGAGTGAGGAGAGAAGGCTGAAAAGAAGCTAACCTGTCGGAAAGCAGCAACTTTGCCTTCAGTTTCACAAGGGGTAGCACATTTAAAAGCAGAATTGTTTCTCTTCAATATTTGTATTGTTTTAATGCTATGGATCAAAAGGCCACAGAAACAATCTTTTGTTTCCTGTTCTAAGCAATGACAAGCACTTTACTTTCATAGTATTTTTTCCTTCTCCAATTGCTGTATAACCTCTTTGGAATTATTCCTGGAGCAAGAAGAGGTCGTTTTTAATGTTTGTTTTTTGTAGATTTCTTGAAAGTGCTGTTCTGCAGACTGCAATGCAATAGGATATTTAAAGACACTATGTGATTGGTTTGATTAAGATGTATAGTTTTATTTTTTACCATGACTGAACAATCATTTTATTTCTTATGTTAAAATGAGAAATTACACCAAAATGATTAATTGATGTGTTTTATTTAATATTTAAATAAAAATGTTTTAAAATTGTTCTTGTTTAGCCTTTATTGTATTTGCTCTTGCAACCCTGCATAGTGACATAAAATCCACCTGGCTCTGCAACGTGTGTGTGTCAGACTCCCTTTAAAACCCAAGTCTGTAGGGCATGCCTGATTTCTTACGTTACACTACTAAATAAAGAAGAATGACTAGTACAGAAAGTAATGGGACGGAAACCTTTCACCTGGAGGTAATCTGTCTGCATCCAGTCTGTGTCAGTAGTAAGCCAGTGATAGTGTCAGACCTTCGTAGGCCTAGAATGAAAATGGTCATGTGTAGTTTTTAATTCCCAACAGACTGTCTTTCTTTCTCTGACACCTTAATTTAAAGAGGTCCCAGAGAGCACAGAAGAGTCCAGACTCCATGGGAGTTCCTGTGACTGTCTTCCTCTAATTGGAAACTTTTGAACTCAAATTACCTTTAAAATAGTAATTTTTAAAATGCGTATTTTAAAAAAGGTACAGGCTTAACTAGACTAAGGGTACATCTACACTGCAGACCACAGTGTAGTGTGGAAATACTAGTGCAGTGTAGTTTGTAATCAGGGTCCTGTAAGACCCTTTCAGGAGTGCGTTGGCACGGGCACTGCTGTCACCTGTCTGTGGCCAGGTGGAATTTAAACCTACAGAACTAGATTGGGAGGTGGCTGTGGTCTCACTTCAGCCCTTCCTGGTCTGACCTCACAAGGTCTCTCCTAGAAACAGAGGCAGGTGGGACAGGTGGAACTGTCCTGTGCTCTGATTCTGGGAGGAACTTTGTGGCATCATACTGGGAAGAACTGCAGCAGGAGTTGGCGCTTCTGCCAGAGTCGCTTTCTGATCGTATTCGGCAGGAGCTACGCAGCCCAGGTTCATCTGGCCCCAGTAGTGGCACTCGCAGCCAGGTGGTTGAGAACCGCTGCCCTAAGGACAGGAGAATTCACTGATAGGCTGACAGAGCACACAGTATTTGTATGCTTATGGATTGTGGCAAGACTTGTTCCCAGTCAGATATGGTCTGCTCTTTTTAAAGAGTTCATAACTTAATTTCCTGTAAATCCAAGAGAGGAAAAAATATATGAACTAGGAGAAATCAGGTCAATTTGAATGACGTAATTCATTGTTTAACCTTCATTCCACTTGCAACAGTCCCAATCATATCAATACTAATTTCTCATAGAGGAAAAAGTCAAATAGCACTTTATTTCACTGCCATTCGTATCTCAGTGGTGTAAATCAGGAGTATTTCTTTTGTACGTAATTGAGAAGCTGTTTAAGAGACAGAAAAATTAAACCTATTGTAAAGGAGGCAGGGGGTTGTTTTTTAACATGTAGACAGAAATCAACTACACTGCTGCTGTTATATGCTGTTGGTGGGGTGGTGATGAAGACAAATGTTAATGGTCTGGTAAATTTACTGAATAAGGAGTTACCGAGGAAGCTGAGGCAGTACAACAGTAGTTCTCAACAGGGGGATCACCAAATACTGGGAAGTTCCACTTGCCGTAATGGCCACAGCAGAAGCGCGCATCATGGTCCTATCAGAGTCTAACAAACCTGCAAACTCTGCTAACTACCTGTCATCAACTATCTCAGACAAGACAAGAGAAGAAGAACCAGAAAGTTATGGAACGGTGCCCTCATTCTAAAGGGGTTGAGAGCCCCTGTACCTAGAGCTAGCTTTAAACGTGCTTTCTTGGGTATTGAAGTAGTCTTGCCAAAACACGCTTTACTGAAGCAGTCTCACCAGAGGTGTAACAAGTCAGCTGTGTGCCTGGGCCAGTTGTAATGCATGAAAGCGGTGGCAACTTCTGACAGTCGCTGTGCCCCACCAGTGCATTTGTGTGGCTGCAGCTACCCGCAGGGGGTGGAAACAGCTACTATTTTTCCCCTCCCTGCCCCATTGGCACCTGGCACCCACCCCAAACTGGCACCTGGGGTTGCTGTTCTAGTTGCTCTGCTACTGAGTCTGGCTATGGGAAAGTGTCTGATATGGGCTAACTCGCCCACATTAAAGACTAGCTCCTTGGAAGCCTCTGCTTTATGCTACAGTGGGCGCATCTATAAATGCACGGTAGACTAATTCGACTGCACGTTAGTGTATCACAATGAAAGCTGTGCTATTAAGCTAATGCGCAGTCGAAGTAGTCTACTGTGCATTAGCATCACTTAAAAGGCAGATGCTGACACTACTGTGCAGTAGCACTGGTTACAGAGCATTTAATGTGCAGTAACCACAGCTCATTAATACAAATGTAGACATGCCCCATGTGGACATAACCTAATGCAAGTGGTAGCAGCTGTAAGAGCATTTAACAGAACTGCTTCTCAATTGAGTTGATGTTTGAAGTCAGTCATGGGTAAAGCCTATGTCAGGAGAAAGCTGGGGCTTGCTCCAGATAATTGGTTTTGCTAAAAAATTATTAGCATATCTCATTCTCAGTGGGAATAAAGCCAAGGCTCCTCTCAGTTGAGGACTTGTGGGTGGGAAGGAGGGTGTCTGTACTTACTGTCCCCCATTGTTTCTGATGAGTTTGAGGATGGATGTTCATATTTACTATGTGGGGTCCAGGGAGAAAACATGGGAATATAGCAGCAGAAAGAGAAAGAGGTTGGGAACAGGAAGAGAAACTGGAGATAGGAATACGGAGAATGGGTAGAAAGACAAGGAAATGAGGGGTAAGGTAATGGAGGGGCCTAAACTGCTTCATTGCCTGAAGTATGGTACCTATTGAAGTGTCCTGTCCTATGCATCAGATCTCTATGTTGAACACTTTACTTGACCAAAGTGCAAGGGCTCAGCACTGAATCTTGCTTCTGATTTCCCCCAAACTCTACAAAAGATAGATTCTCTTTCGCTGGGAGGTGAGGAAGAAGTCATATACCCCATGGAAAGCCACGGGAGTGATGAGAAGATGTACTTCAGATGGAGCAGCAGGATTGCTCCTGCTTTCAGCTGGTGAGATGCTGCCAATTCTAGCCTGTCAGTGTTGTGCACATATACGCACTGGCACTTGAGAAGAAGCTGCAGATTTTGCACATACATATAGAACTGCGGTACCGGGAGGGGTGTGGAGGGGCAGGGAGTAAATTTGCTGAAAAGTGCCATGTGGGACACACACACACACACACACACACACACACACACACACACACACACACCCTCCAAAAATACTTAAAAATCTAAGTTTAATTTGGCAAATATAATTATAGCCAAGAAAAGGAAGAAAATGTTCTGAAAAGTCAATGTTTTGTTTTGAAAATGCCAAAATGAAATATGTTGAAATGACTTTTTCACTTTGAAATTGACCTAAACCCTCTGAAAAGGGTAAGAAGAAATAACCTAACAGTGAAACAAAATATGTTAGACCTGATGGGAACAAACTGTAATTTTTTTTTCTTTCTGCTTCAGCCAATGAACTGCAATTCTTTTATTTGCAGAGGGCTGTGCACGTTTGCCACTTTCTCTCCACTTGTGCAGCAAACTTCCAAATATATTGTGCAGCCATTCACCTGTGATCTGATTGCATAAACATTTAGCACTGTTGTGCCCATTATTTGTAAATCTCTTTTTTTAAAGACCAACATTTAAAGTAAATTGGCCAAAAATAATTAAAAAAACCCATTCAGGTGCCATCTTGATCTGAATGCAGTACTTCAAAATTGGGCTACCTAGAGCAGTCATTCTCAGCCAGGATGCTGCGGCACCCTGAGGTGCCTTGAGATCCTTTCAG